GAAAAGTGGGATCGAGACAAAAACAAAAAAAGTTGTCGGTGACGCGAGCAGGAAAAAGTGGGAGCGCAAAAAAAACGGAAAAAAGAAAAGAAAGCGGGAAAACAGAAAAAGAAAAGAAGCGAGCGGGAAAGCGGGAAAAAAAAAAAAAAGCGAGCAGCGGGAAAGCGATAGACTGCCTGCACCGGAACTGACCCAACGAAAAAAAAAAGGGACGCGACGAATTGCCTTCATCGGAACTGACCAAACGGAAAAAAAAGGGGGACAACGACCGCTGCAGCGACAAAAAAGGGAAAAACGGCGCCGAAAGCGACGAAACGAAAAAAATAAGGGGAAAGATGGGCGCTGCAGTGACCAAAAAGAAAAGAAAAATCCAGTGGCCTAACTCAGTTGGTAAGGCACGCAAGTGGCATTCAGGATGTCGTGAGTTCAATCGCCATTGGGCTCATGTACCTTCCTGGGCATGCTTGGCGCCCTCCACCTAGAGATAAACCACTGGATCCCCCGATCGGCATTGAGCAGAGTCTGCTGATGTTCGTAGGGGAGGGGACCTGAGGGGAGGAACAGGGATCGGTCCTGTTGGCATGGTCCCTGATGCTACCGGCTGCCCCAAGCCGGTATCGCCCACCTGCAGGTTGGGAGCAGCACCCACATGTTCTCTCCTGAACACTGTTCTGGCTGCTATGGGGTTCCCCGTATGCCTACAATTAGGAGTAGCGGTAGGTAGGTAGTGTGAGGTGAAATTGAGAGAAGAATAAAAAAAGAAAAAGAACAATAAAAAAAAGGAGAAACAAAACGTCGGCCGGTCCGATATACAGCGCCCAAAAAAGAAAAAAAAGAAAAAAAAGAAAAAAAAAGGAAATAAAAAGGGCATACAAAGATAACCCTTTTATCCAGCGGCCTAGCTCAGTTAGTTAGGCACGCAATTGGCATTCAGGAGGTTGTGGGTTCAAGCCCCATGACCGCCTGCGGCGCACTTAGTGCCAACGGAYTGTGATAGTCCTCTGGATACCCCTAATTGGTATTAGCAGGGTCTATGGTCAACAGGGGTGTGAGTGCGAGAGCGAGTGGGTTGTGTGTGGTGTGTGGGAGAATGTTGGTCATAGCCTCTGCTGCTGCTCGATGAGGGGTGGGGGCCGTTGAGAAAGGAAGGCGCAGCTACTGGCAAAATGCTCAGTCTTTGCGTTAGCCGGACCCCTACCGGCGGCCCCACCCCATCTGTGACTACCGCTGTTGGGGCGGGGAGCAACATGATTTACCTCGTTTGCGAAACCCTATGCTTGC